AGGCTCTATTTCGGAGGTGTGGATGTAGTGGGACAAGATTGAGGCACATCATCAGTTTGTTAGAACTGGGTACAGGTTCTCCATTTTCCTCTATATATATTATATTATTATATATATATATTATATATTATATAATTTAAAAAAGTTATTAATTGAATAAATTAAAATATTATAATATTTTATATAGTACATTATATCCTATGATACTATATTATAATATATTAAATTAAATAATATATTATTAAAGTATTATATTAAATATATTGTTCATATATTATATCAATTATTATATAATGTAGCATACTAATATAATATAATATAATAATTAATAATATTAATTAGTAATTATAGTACAACATATTATATTTTAATTTAAAGTAAAATAATGTTTATATTATAATAATATACTAAATAATATACTAAACCAATTGTATAAGTTATTTTAGAATTAATTAAGAGATAAAATTATATTTTAATAAGATGTCACATCATCAATTATCCTACATGAATTGTCAAATCAAAGCTCAAATTATCTCATTATCTCAATTACCCCAATTTGTCTCGACCAACAACCCACCCTAAGGGGGGGTTAGTCACCTAGAACTTAAAATTAGAACTGGGATAATCTGTGGGATAAAATTTTAAGGTGTTAGTCACATAGAACTAAACCTAGAACAAAATTTTAAGGTGTTAGTCACATAGAACTAAAACTAGAATAAAATTTTACAGTGTTAGTCAAGCAGAACTTTAACAAAACTAGAATTGGGATAATTGTACAAAATTATCCCATTTTTTTATTTTTCTATACAAAAATGAGAGTTCTAGTCTCTCAAATTATTCCAAGTTTTAGCTTGGAACTATGTGGTAAAAAACTAGAACTCGTATTTATTTTGTTATTTTTTATTTTTTTTCTTTACTTATTTCCTATTATGGTTATCACCATCATTAAACCATCATCATAATAACAATTGTCAATATCTTATAGTCTAACCAAAAGTTATTTTAATAGTAACGAACATTTTTGTAAGCAATTATCAATTAATAGTAGTAAGTTTAAAATACATAAATAGTATTTATATCTTCAAAATGTATAAATATATACTTCATGATTATAAAAATTTATCCCACGTTATTTTATCAAAATATCCCGCTTCACAAAATTGTTCCTAGTTATCCCACTAAAATATCCCACTAGCGAAATATTATTCAACTTTAACAATTATCCCATTTTGCATGAAAATGTCCCAATTGACTAACACCCCCTAAGGGGGGTTATTCATTGGGACATTTGGTGGGATAATGAGATAATTTTGTGGATTCTATTTCATAGTGTTATTCATTTGGACAATGGAACAAGGATAATACATTTTTGTGTTATTGGTTTTTTGGAACACTAGTGAGACAATTTCACCACTTGAGATAAAATTACCCACTCATATACAAAAATGTTGTCCTAATAGTAAAAATTTACCCCATCCTCCATATTGGAACAATTTTGTTCCACTTTGAAGGCAATTGGGATAATTTTCAAACCTTTTTGTATTACTTAAACTAGTACATGCTAATTTTATTATAAATATATGACATGATATATAACGTATAAAGTAATAATATATTCAATATATTATATTATATTATCATGTAATAAAATAAAATATTATTATAGTTTAATTTATATGCATAATTTATTTTATGATATTTATTATATATTATTACGCAATATCACATACTATATTATATAATAGTACAACATATTTATTATGATATTATATAATATTTTAATAACATATATTATTATATAATATTAATTAGTAATTATAGTATAACATACTAATAATATATTATTAAAGTATTACATTAAATATATTGTTCATATATTATATCAATTATTATATAATGTAGGATACGAAAATAATTTAATATAATATAATAATTAATAATATTAATGAGTAATTATAGTATAACATATTATATTTTTGTATAAATAAAATAATGTATTATATTATTATATTGATCTTATATTATATTAATTATTATATAGTATAGCATGCTAATATAATATAATATAATGCAATATAATAATTAATAAATATTAATTAGTAATTATAGTACAACATATTATATTTTAATATAAAGTAAAATAATATTTATATTATAATAATATACTAAATAATATACTAAACCAATTGGATAAGTTAATTTAGAAGTAATTAATAGATAAAATTATATTTTAATAAGGTACCAGATCATCAATTATCCCACATGAATTGTCAAATCAAAGGCTCAAATTGTCTCATTATCCTATTTTATCTCACTTTGCTCCACTCAAAATATCCCAAATGGATAAAATTATTCCATTAGGGGGGGTTAGTCACCTAGAACTTTTTAAGTAGAACTCGGATAATTGGTAAAGTGGGATAATATTTTGACACTGGGATAATTTAGTGGAACAATGATGGGTAATTCTTAAAGTGAGATAATTTGGTAGGATAATTTGGTGGGATAATGATGGATAATATTATGAAGTTGCATAATTTGGTAGGATAATTTGGTGGGGGTAATGGTGGGTATAAATTACTATTGTTAATAATTGTATATTAAAAATAATATAATATTAATAAGCAAATTCTAGTAATAACTATAAAATATAATACAATAAAGCATCACTATTCATCTCAAATAATAAAATAATTTACAAATAAATAAAAATCTAAATCCCTAGAGTGACTCGACTTCCATCATCCCATATGGCTTCTATCATCCCACATGGCATCTGCCATAGAATTTCTCCAAGCTCCTATAGCTGCTCGTTAAGTTTGTAACTCGTCTTTTTTATCGGAGTCATCGTCTGCATCAGGAACATTTCGTGGAGCTTCTAGCAGAGGATCATAAATGTCGAAGTTCAAATCTCATAACATCATAAGAAAGAAAAATAAGCATTTTTCAGCCATTAACCCTTTGGACCAATTTCATCATGATCGCTGAAACCATATCAGCAAATAAATGAAATGTACACAAGAATCATCCATGGCCGCTAAACAGATGATCGACAGATGAACTATAAATATCCCAATCAATTTACTGAGTCGATTTAATAATAATAGATATCACCATTAACCATTCAACATCTAATCATCAATGTGATCGCAAAGTTGCTTTCTAACTTATAAAAAAAAACATAAATAGCCCGCATATCTTTAGCACTAACCCACCAACACTATATTCTTAACCTAAACCACTGTTGTGGAGAGAAAACTTAGATCAAACAAATAATAATAAAGTAATTTAACATCAAAAAGCTATCAATAAAGTAATACATCTTGAAGATAATAATAAAAGATCTAATCTCACAAAAACAAAGTAAAGACAGAAAAATGAACGGATGATTGACTTCATGGCAGAGAAATTTTCTAGGCGGAGAAACTAACCAAGAGGGAGGGAGGCGACGTTTCACTTTTTTTTTCCTAATTGTATTCTTTCCAATGTGTGGGATAATTTGAGAGAGGAGAACTTATGGTTATATATATAGGTAGTATAATTTGTGGGATAATTATGACCAATTATCCAAATTCTAATTCTAGTAGAATTCTACTTGATTAACGCACCAAAAAAATAATACAGTTCTAGTTCTACAAAAGTTCTACTTGACTAACACTATAAAAAAAATATCACATTTCCTAGTTCTATGTGACTAACACCTTAAAAATTTATCCCACAAATTATCTCAGTTCCAGTTTTAAGTTCTAGATGACTAACCCTCCCCTTAGAACAATTTTCTCACTTGACCCTAATTTGTCCCAACCAATAACCTCCATAAGCCCCAATTTATCCTACTTTATCCCACTCAAAATATCCCAAAAAAATAAAATTTTTTGACTGGAACAATTTTCTTGTTTGTCCCCAATTTGTCCGACCAATAACCCACCCTAAGCCCCTTTTTTCTCTCTCGTTAAAAACCCCAACAGCACCACGCCTCCTCTCGGAGCTCGCCGCCGTCGTCGGTTTTCCGCGGCCTCTCAAAAACTTAGACGAAATCCCCCCTTAAAACCCGTAATTCCCCGCCTCCTCTCTCTCCTCAGAACCCCAACCGTAATTCCTCCTCCTGAAATCGGATCTCGCCGCTTCTCCTGCTCCTCATTTTCGCCGCCTCACTTGTAAGTTCTTTTCCTGAAAACCCTAAGGCTAATTTGGGTATTTTCTGAATTTTTTCTGAAATTATGGGCATTATGTTCCAGTTTAGTTAGTAAATGGCTAAAATCACAGTAATCCATTGATGTTATGTTTTTAATTCATACACTGAACTCTAGGATTTGGATATTCATTATGGTTAAATTCTTAAGGTCATAAGTTTAATTGGTTGTTATGATGAATTCTCTCAATAATATTACAAAATTTTCCGAAACGCCTTGGTAAATACACTGAACTCTTGGATTTGGATACTCTTCATGGTAGTTAAATATGTTAAAATCATAACTTTAACGGGTTATTATGATGCATTCTCTAGATGAAGATTACAATTTTTTCCAAAATGACATGCTGAATACACTGCACCCTTGGATTTTGATACTTTTCAGGGTTCAATTCTTTAAATCATAACTTTGCCAATATACAGTTTTTTCATTTGGATTTTCAATGTAAATCTTTTGGTGAGGCACATGACATATCAATGCTCTAGGAATTAATAGTTGGAGGTTTTAAGCTTCTCCCACAAATGTTATGTAATACTTAAAAATCAGTAATGATATCCCAGTATTGTAGAATTTCTGAGGAGACATGTGAATGAGACCCTAAAGCTATATTGTTGAGTTATTTATCCGGTGAAGTTTCATATATAGCTACCCATAGTTTCTTTCTGATCTCTATAATTATATCTTAACATGTTCTATCGAGAAAAGACATTTCTTGTGTACTTGCTCTTTTTTAGATTTCTCTAAGTAGGCATATAGTATAATATGTTAGTATTGTAGAATGTCTATTTGATATTTGTGGATTTCTAATTTTGTCCTTTAATGCAAGTGTGCATAATTTGCAGAGTTGTTATCGCTAACTTTGACTTATTTAGGTTAGCATGGCATATGACTATATCAGAGTTAAAGATCGGATGTATGTGAATCACTGGTGCAGATGAAGCACCCGTTGGGGCTGAATTTGAAAATAAAACTAATTAATTAATTGCACCAATGGCTATAACCGTTGGTGCAGATGAAACACTCGTTGGGCTGAAATTGGCCTAACGCGATTTGCCCCAACGGGTTTGACCATTGGGGTTAGTATCAGCCACAACGGTTATTACTGTTGGGGCAGACAACCTTTGTAGTAGTGCACTAAACCTTTAAACTTCTTGCATAAAATCTCGCAACTCCAAAGTATCTCAAATAACCCCTAAAACTTTTAATTCTTTCCAGAAAACTCCCAAAAAGTTCTCTTTTAACTGGACTCTACCTAATTTTATTCTTTTATTGTTAATTCTATTCTTTTATTGTTTTCTCTGGAGCTCATCTTCTCCTCTTATCATTGCTTTTTGGAGGGGTTTAGAAAAAGTTAAAAGTTTTAGGGGTTATTTGAGGCTCTTTTGAGTTGTTGGGTTTTGTGGGAAAAGTTTTGGCATTTAGTGGGAAAAACAAAGTGCAGGGAGGTTTTGTGGGAATCGCATCAATGTTTTGGGGGTGTTTGTAAAATTTAGCCTTAATATAAACGCCAAAAAATTTATTGTAACAAAAAATACAGGTATTACAGTATTAGAGTTTGTTAGGCAAATGTAATGTGACAAAAAATATAGGTATTATTGTATTAGAGCGTATTACAAAACTTTGTCATTGCCCAATACCTCATCGAGGAATTATATTGATAGTCGCTGTAAGTGAAAGTGCCAACTTAAAAAAAAAACCAACCTGTAGCCACGTCCTCTTCCACCCCCGCGTCCCCCCCCCCCACACACACACACACAGACGAGAAAAAAGAAGGCTGAATTATGGATATAACCCCGTAAACAATTTTATTTTATGTTGCAATCTGTTTCCAATTGTACAAAAAAGAGGCATACTTCTCTATAATGATTAATACTACTCATTTTAAAATTAAAATAAGCGGCGACTGGTCACAAAGTATTATGGGTCTAGCATCCTCAATTTTCTCTTTAATGTTGCTTAATAAATCATTCAAAGTGGAATTGATTGTATCCTTCTCAAATGTTGAGCAAATAAATTAGAAAGTATTGTTTATTGTGGTTAGTGCATTTTCACTTACTAACTAAGCTAAGAGAATCATTACCATGGCCACGAACCATGAACTAATCACTTCAAAATAAAATAATGTAGACAGATGAATTTAAATCAAAGTCTTCTATTACTTATCTAACTGAGGACTCGAATAAAAATAATTAACTTAAGAATGAAGAAACGTTAATTTGAAAAATTAATTAGATTGTTTAGGAATATAAAAAACATAAAAGAGAGAAATATAAATATATGACTCAAATCTGAAATTTTCAGTTGTCTTTAAACTGAAATTCTTCTCAATGACATAACACTAATTGAGAGCAGAGAAAACTCGCTGTTTTCTCTAATTCAGAAAAGAAATAAACTTTGCAATGGACTAATTAAAATTAGATTGGAAGAAGGGAGAGGGCCTATTTAGGGGAAAAAAGCCACTTAATTTTTGCGCCAATTGTTAAGGAAAAGGGGGAACAAACCAAATCGCAATCTTTAGAAGATGCAAGGGAAAAAGTGTAAATTTATCTGTTTACCTGTTAGCACGCAGAGAAAAAACCCATATTTGGCAGCAAGCTCAGACCTCATCTATCTCTCTTCCTCTCATATCAGCGATCATGGGACTTCTGAGCATCATAAGGAAAATAAAAAGGAAGGAGAAGGAGATGCGAATCCTAATGGTGTAAGTCTCTCTCTCTCTCTCTCTCTCTCTCTCTCTCTCTCTCTCTCTCTCTCTTGCTTCGAATTTCTCATTCTCCTATTCTCTTCAATTACTTAATTTTGTTATGTTATTCAAAAATCTGGGCAGGGGGCTGGATAACTCGGGTAAGACGACGATAGTTCTCAGAATCAATGGCGAGGACACCAGTGTCATCAGCCCGACCCTCGGATTCAACATCAAAACTATCAAATACCAAAAGTAATTAATGCCTACCCTCTCTTAAAAATTAAATCTTGTTCATGAATCCCCTCTAAGTTTATTGATAGCGGATAGCGTCGCATAGCGGTAAGGCATCGCTAAGGCTATTTAGGGCTATTACGGCAAAATAGCGGTAAAAAACGTAAAGTCAAACAGCGGTCTAATTTAGATATGTATAAATATTTAAAAAAATAAGAAAAATTATAGAAAAATCTAGAAAATTTAAAAGTGTATATTTGATGATTTAAAGAGATTCTAAACATGAAATAGACATGTAACTGTCATATAATACGAAGACGTCTAGAGAAGGAGTCAAAGAGTTGTCATCTTCGAGAAGCTGAGCTAAGCGGTGAGAGGATTGCAGTGGGAGGAGCTCACGACGAGATGAGGTGAGAGGAAGTGCTGAGGGAGGTGCTGGAGGGAGGTGCTGGAGGCTGTGGGAGGCAGCGAGAATATGCCAAAAATCACGGGAGGCGGTGGGATGCAGTGGTTGCGGGTCGGGTTTAATTTTAAAAAACTACACCTCAAACCACTTTTAAATAGCGGTCAAAAAGTGGATTTTGCCCGCAATCATCCGCTATTTACCGCTATGGCGCACTATTGGTCACTTTTGTGAGCGGAAAGCGCATATTTCGTAGTGTCGCTACTATTGAGCGATAGCGTAGCGGGAAGGGACCGCTAACGCTATTAGCGACGCTATTTACCGCTATATATAACAGTGATCCCCTCTCGAATTTTCATCTTCTGGTTCATTTAGGATCTGAGTCAATTTATGCTGCCATTTTGTTAATTTTTTTGTTCTTGTGTCTTTAATAAAAAATTGCACGACTTGTCATTTTGATATTAGAGACCTGATTTTAGTTTGCATCTTTTTGGTGCAATTTTATTGATTTTTGTGTAGAATTTGGAAAAATGGTGTAGGTATTCATTGAACATATGGGATGTTGGCGGGCAGAAGACCATTAGGTCATACTGGAGGAATTACTTTGAGCAGACTGATGGATTAGTTTGGGTTGTTGATAGCTCTGATGTTCGGAGGCTTGAAGATTGCAGAATGGAGCTTGAGAATCTCCTCAAAGAAGAGGTTTCTAACTCAATTTCTCTTTTGAAAAAAATAAATTCCTTATAGTGTTTGTAATTTGCTTAGCTAACTTCTATTTTGTGATGCTATACTGTTCTTGGTTAGAATGTTATCTTAAAGTGTAGGTTGTCACTTAATTCACTCGCAAACTATAATTTTTATTTTTATTTTTTATCATTTTTCTTATTTATTTATTTATTTTTCTGATAGACAGTTTTAATATTGTGAATTATAGTCAAATACCTGTATGTAAATACTCTATAGTTAATTTGAACTATTAAAATGGAAGCCATTCCTTTGATGCCTTGCCTCTTTTATTTCTACATATTAAATTGTACTACCAATAACAAGTTCTTAGGCATTCTTAAAGCTTTCTTCATAGCCTCCCTTGTCTCTTAGTTCACTCCAACTTTATCATGCTAACCTTTTTTTTTGGTTTTAACCTGACACGTTGACGTCATTAGCTTCTTGATACATGGTCGTGTATTCTCCTAGGTTCATTTAAGTTTTGGCAAACTGTATGACTCAGGATAAGGTACATTGGGATGACTAAAGCAGATATGGACCCACTGGACACATGGATAAATTCAGTTCCAGACATAACCTATATGCATGCATCCAAAAGGCCAACATCTTATGTGATATAGATGATGAAATAGATCAATGTTTTAAAAGGCCTCCGCCTAGCCCCCTAGGCGTATGCCTCGGCCGTCTAGGCCTAGACGGTACTTTAGCCGCCTACCTAGCGCCTAGGCGGTACCTAGGCTGTCCACATAGGTTTTATGAGCGCCTAGGTGGTTTGCCTACATGAACTGCACCTTTTAGGCATTTAGCAAAACCTCCACCACCACTTAAGAAATATACCTAGGTGTTAGTCCAGCGCCTAAGCTTTCGATAACTTGGCATTGACTATCAGAATTGTAGTTAAAAAGTGAAAAATAGGAAAACGCTTAGGTCTCACCTAGGCTTCTGCCTAGCCTCTAGGCGTTAGGTCCAGCGCCTAGGCCGCCTAGTGCTTTTTGTAACCTCGAAATAAATAATAATGCAAATAAAATCTAGGTCATAGCATTAATCAAACCAATTATAAGTGTGATGCAGTTCCACATAGATGCAAAAATTGACAGTTAAAAGACAAGGAAATGTTAAGAACTCACCTTGAGGGGTGAAGAAATTAGCATCCAACTGTATAGATCAATGTAGGGTCTGAATTAGTTGTCTCCTTTGCAGATGGTTGTAGATCTTGCAGGTGAACTGTCAAACAACTCGATTCCACCTGGTTGATGTCAGCAGTGACATCAGCAAATAATTTGGTGAACGGATGGTGGCTGAGTATGTTAGGCTTAGGGTTTTTGTTTGTTTATTGTAGATGGATGGTTGACATTTGATGAAAGGAAGAATTTTTATTAAGATGAAAAGAAAACTAAAATTTTGGGTCTCACACCCTGCCACTTCACATGTGAATTTGCAACTCACGTACAGAGATTTTTTAAAAGAAAAGTAGAGTTTTCTTCGTAGTTGTCATCATCTTATAGAGGGAGTGACAAGAGGATGCACAAATACATGCAAACACTCAACAACATACACTTTTACAAAATAGATGAGTAGCAATTCGATATACCACAATTGTCTGAATATTGGATGTGAATATGATAATGATATTTTGTGCTGTAATTTCTTTAAGAAACTGCACTTCAACTGCCATAAGGATCCTGAAATTATGGTTGTAGGATGCATTTCTTTCACTTCTAAAATTTTTCTCAATCAAGACATTCTTGTGAAGAACTACACTGTTTTCTTATAGGGTGGCAGAAAACATGGTTCTGTAGTCCATTAGTGTTTTCTTCCTTGATTATGACGGCATATCTCTGTTATATCTTATAGTGTTTGGATTTCTTTTTGTATGTAGCAATGCAAATATGTGCTTACAGTTGAATTAATTATGTCGTTTTTTCTTGCTTATGTTTTTTCAGAGGTTATCTGGAGCATCTTTGTTGGTTTTTGCAAATAAGCAGGATATACAAGGGGCTCTCACTCCACCAGAGATAACTAAAGTAAGTTCACGTGTTAATTTTCCTTCATTGTTCACAATTATCTCGTTATCGTTTAATATATCTAAAGTTGGGTATGGAGTGGGTTTAAGGATCTTTATCTTTTCTCGGAGGCTATGTGTAGCTACCAATCTACCATTAGTCTCTTTGGTACATATGCTATGAATGTTCAACATGTATCTGTGAGCATGCCACTACCATATAAGTTGCTCAGTTTTGCACATTATCAGGGAATTCTAGGAGCTTACATCAAATCTAAGCATTTTTTTATAAAAGCCCTCAGACATGAAATATAACTCGAAGATGTGGAAGTTTCATGAAAGAACATTACAAATCTTACAATTTGTTCCCAACCATACTCATGTTTACCTAGGTCAACTCCAAATTCCTATCGAAGATAAGTATAAGCATGAAGGGCTATACCATAAAAAAGTATAACTGTCATTCTTGCACTGACCCTCCCTTATCACATTGCCAATTTGTCAAACCGTTGTTATTTAAACTGTTAAATTGGCAAATCACTTGAAGTGATATGTTAAAAGATCTTTTAAAATCTTGAAGTGGGACCTGAAGTGGTGGCCCATAACTTGTATAGCGAAGCTAGGGCTTAAGCTGGAGCTTTATGAGGCTTTTAACAGTATGGTTAAATTTATAAGGTTGTAGAGTTCCTTGAAGGTTAGAGAACATTTGTTGTTATTTGACATTGTGGTTTTCATCCAAATGGAAATTTCTAAGTTTTGTCAGGGTTCAACATATGGCTTCAAGTTTATCTGGGTGCTTGTGTAAGAAATACATAGCCAATTTTTGATTTATTTGGAAAAGCTCAAGTTATATCGCTCTTGGACTTGTGTCCCATAACAAAAAAGCAGTGAGCACATCTGTTCTGGGAGTAGCACAAGGGCGTTCAACTCCTTAACTACCCTATTTTCCTAATACTTGCATCTAATCGAGGAACATTTTCCACACATTCTGTTTTCTGAGTAATCTATTTTTAATTTTCCCTTTTGGGGTGAAAGAAATACCGAAATAATATCTCTTGTAGGCTTGTAGCTCACCCATAAAATAACGGTGAATTGTATAATTTGTATTGCATCTGTGCATATTTCCTGCAGAAAGCTTTCATCATCATTCATAAAAAGTAACTGCTGGTATGGTCATAATACATGTTTACTTGTGCTAACAGTGAGTAGGAAAATGCATGAGTTTGTGTTGCTTTAGCTCGTATACACCACACCGCTATCTTTTGTAATTTGAACTGTATATGAAATAATGTTTGGAACTAATACTTTTTTGGTGAATTTTCTTTCTACATTACAGGTGCTAAATCTGGAGGCTCTAGACAAAACCAGGCATTGGAAACTTGTTGGTTGTAGTGCATACACTGGCGAGGGGTTACTCGAAGGTTTTGATTGGCTTGTTCAGGACATTGCTTCTCGGATTTATGTACTTGACTGAATATTTTTGACTTGTAAAACACTGACTACATAAATTCGTGTTTAATGAACATTGTCCTGAGATTTTTGATGTTTTTGTTTATATGGTAATGTAACATCTGTTTACTGTTATTTTCAAGTTCTAATGTTAGAGGACATCAAAATATATTTTCCTATTTACATATTAAATCAGTTAACGTGCTCCTCTGCTTGGAATCATGTCAAACGGTTGTCATCAAGCTGAAGCATAGGCATTTAACCTCGGAGTTTATATTTGACTGCATATGAAGCAATCCTCCGGATTTTGGTCCTTTTCTGTTCATCTTCTGAGAAAAAGAGCTGATAATAATAAAAAAGCTCAGACCAAGAGTTGCTAGAGACCTCCACAGAAGAAAATAAGCAAATTGATGATACAGGGCACTCAAAGCTAGCGGCTTGCGTTGATGCTAGTCATTTTACCTTTTCGTACCATTTCACCAAAGAAAGTAACTACTCATCATCAGAAGACTGAGCTTCTTACAAACAAACCTACGGAAATCATACTCCCTTTAAAAGCACAAGTTCGGAAAAATCTTTCTATCGTCAATATTACCCTTCACTATTTTAAATATTTCACTACGGAAATCATACTCCCTTTAAAAGCACAAGTTCGGGAAAATATTTCTATATTACCCTTCGCTATTTTAAATATTTCATTTATATATTAATCTATCCTAATCATAATTATATCCTATCCTAATCCTATATGAACTACCTATAGCTTAACAATTTAAAAAATTATATTAATAAAATATGTAAAACATATTTTTATGGTATTAGTTTGTAAAAATAAAGAAATTATACGTAATCATAATTATATCATATCCTAATCCTATGTGAACTATCTATAGCTTAACAGTTTAAAAAATTATATTAATAAAATATTTAAAACATCGTTTTATGGTATTAGTTTGTAAAGATAAAGAAATTATACGTAGCTAACGTACTATAATACATAAAGTATTGCAAAAAAATCTAAAAGTTTTAAAATTACATAAAATACCCTAAAAAGTTTAAAATTATAAAAACTATCCCGACGTCTAAAAACTTAAAACAACAAATATGAAATCAAGAAATTAACAGCGAAGAATTTAAAATTTGCGGATAACATCTCATTATCTCAAAAATTATAGAAACACCATCAAAAGTTCAAATTACAAACAAGCACCTAAAATTCTAAAATTTCAAGACTTACAAACAACATAGATGAATTCAAGGGATTACCATAATGATCCTGAAAATTTTTGATATTTCTAAGATTAAAATAACAAATATGAAATTAAAAAATTAACAGCAGCCTCCGAATAATTTAAATTTTTTAATTAACACCCTCAATGTCCTAAAAATTATAGAAACTCCCTCAAAAGTTTAAATTATAAAAAAATAACCCTAAAATTATAAAAAATTTAAAATTTGCAAACAACAAAAAATGAATTCAAGAGATTACCCTCATGCACCTAAAAATTTAAAATTTACCAAAATTAACCTCAAAGTTATAAAAAAAACCCTTTCAAAATTTAAAAATTATAAAAAAACTCTAAAATTTTAAAATTTATAACCAGTACATATCAAATCTGAAAACTACTAGTAGACCGCTAAAATTTAAACTTTTTAAAAATTAATCTATAGTTTTAACAATTACAAAAAACAGCCTCAAAATTTTAGAGTTGTAAGAAATATCGTGATATTTAAAAATTATCGCCGACACATGAAACATATAAGTTATAACTACCAAACTTAAAAGTAATTTTTAAAAATACTCCCAAAGTTTTAAAAATTACAAATTACACCCTCAAAGGTTCAAAAAACAAAAAAGGGCTGAAATTTTAAAACTTGGCAAAGAAAAGTGTAATTGTTAGATATTCTTTCATTTATATATATATATATATATATATTTTACTAATAAGTTGGAGCAGCAAAACACATTAGTAATATTAATTGATAGATGTTTAAATCCATAAAAATAATAAAATACTATAATATAATAGCTTACACTACAAGAAATCTGCTATTTAACGACCAAAATTAGTGAAGGGAACAGTTGCCCGTCATTAATGTGCATATAATAACGACGGGTTTTAAACCCTTCGTCAAGTGATTACAAATAATAAAGAAATATTGTGATATGGGATAACGGTTTTCTAATCCCTTCGTTGATTTGATCCTACTACCGTCGTTATTGGGTCTCCTTAAAAATAAAGGGGTCCATTACCTTCATTGATGGGACTCCTAATTATAATTGGACTGAAATTAATCTATTTCTATTAACAAATCCCATAACCAAACTCGAAGCCCCAACTAAAACCCCAAGCGTGATGGTTCTACAATGTTTTTCACCATTATTTTTGGGTTTAAAGAGCACTTGAGTTGGAAGCGTCGCGCTTGCCTCTACTTTTGGGCGCCTTAACTTTTTAATGCCCGCTCAAGCACTAAAATATAGATCGTGTGTTTCTGTTTTTTAATAAAAAAATCCCCAAATTTAAACCCTCACTTTCTATGTTTCTTCTCGCCGCCACCACATCCTCCCTTCAACGATCCATCTCCGACCCCCCACCACCTACGCCTCCGCCTACAAGACCATACCCTCTGGCCTCGTCTATGCCATTTCCCTCCCTCCATCCAAGTGCTAAGGTTTAGTGTCATATCTTCCCCTTTCCTCTTCGACCGGTCACCCTCATTTGAAGCTGAGCTCAGTGCACTGTGGATCTCTGAATCTCTCAATCGTGTCTAATTTGATAACTTTTTTGTTTATGGCATCAGAGAAGAAACTCGCGAACCCAATGGGGGAGATTAAGATCCATTAATTGGTCTTCAGTATTTTAGTTGGAGAGAACGGAGATACAAAATCCTCTGAGGTATCGATCGTCAATCTCTTGTTTAGATTTAGGGCTTATGAATTACTGCAAAAGTTGATTTTTTGTGTGTGCTTATTTAGGGTTAGGGTTTCAATCCTAAATGGCCCTCTGATGACAAGGAAGCAACACATCAAGATCCCTAAACCCTCTTAGATAAAAATTTACTTGACTCCACTTTGGTTGCTTTTCTCTATGACCTAAAAAAAATTCAATTTGATTGTCTCACTCTCTTTCTTTGTTTACTTGCTTTCTAGGGGTTGCTGGTGGAGCACTGTGATTGGTGTCGAAGAGTCAGAGAGCTTTTGCAGCAAGTTATGCCACCATTCATGCTATCATGGTCGGCTGGTACTATGGTCTATTACTTCTTACTAGTTTTCTTGTTCAAATGTAAGATAGTTGAGATTTTTTTGTTGCGATAGATCTTGGCATGCATCGTTCACCAACTTTTTGTGACTTTTGATCAGTAATTTTTAGTGAAGGTCATTTTCACTTCAAAAGCAAGGTTGGGATAAGCTGAAGCTGAGTATTGGGTTTATGACATTTTAGGAAATAATCCTTAATGACATATTTGTTTAGTTTGAAATAATCCTTAATGACATATTTGTTTAGTTTGGGCTATGTTCGTTACTTATCACACATAACCTTTAATTGATACGATGGAGAACAACTTACAATGAATTGAAAGTCATTAAATGTTTAAAATAATTTAATTTGGATATGTATCACCTTACTCATGCCCAACGATAAGAACCAGAAATGTGTTCCGACGTACCAAACTCATGCCTTAGTGCTTAGTAGATAATGTAATATAGCTAATATTATGTTTTTATTCCTGAATCTTGTAGAAATTGGAAGATCCTCTCATTAACGAGGCTTGAAAATAGCTTGAAACGAATCTGAATCTGGAGAAGGTGGAGTTTGACACACTTGGTATGAAGGTGAGATATTCTTGTGCAATGTTACAAAGTTTTTTCCCATCTCAGTGCAAGACATTAATATAAGTATATAGTCTACATACTAACTCTTATGTGTCTCTACGTACAACAAGTTCATATTACCAAGTTTAAGGATTTAACATACTTTTTCTGCTATTTCTAATCATGAAGTTAAGTTTTCATACTTTTGGGGATAATGCACAGTTTCGATTCCATGTTGGAGTTGGATTATAAAAGCTGCCACCAATTTAAGTATTATAACATTTGCATTTTCATACTTACCTGTAATTGTGTGAGAGGTTATTCAAATGTCTGATCACTAACAATATTATAGACATGTTTTCTCCAAATGTCTATTGACCATACAAATCCAACGTCTTATGTACTCTTTAGGCAAAATAAATTGAATATACTCATGACTCGAGGCTTTTGGAACAAAACCTCATGCTACTATAAAGTCACTTGTGATTCTTCTGATGATTCTATTTAATAAAAACACTCCAAAAAAAATAAACTATGAAAAATTACCATGAATGATACACTTCGCTTTAAGTTTTGAATTTTAGAACTTAAGATTCTCTCCAAATCCCAAGTATTGTAAGCAAAAGCCAATGAAAAAAAGTTGCCTTTGATCAATGAGGACATGGGACAAATCATCCAAGTATTGTAAGCAAAAGCCAATGAAAAAAAGTTGCCTTTGATCAATGAGGACATGGGACAAATCATCTCTATTTCTTGTTGCATTGTGTAAAAAGGATGTTTTTATTACGTAGAAAATATCAATATATTTGTTGAGTTTGAAGTTTGAGTGTGACGAACTTCAATATATATATTTCTATAGTTTTTAGGTGTTGGTTGTTTGTATTTTTTTCCAAGAATTATGAAATACCACATATTTAGAGCATTTGGTTCTGTAAGCTATTTTCATTTGTTGATGTATTGATTTGTATAAGCGATGCCTGAAAGTTTTGCAGTAGCAGAGAACTAACACTAGTGCAATGCACATTTTTTGTTGAAAATCGGAAACTCAATCAACGTGCTTGTGTGAGCAAGTAGGTTCACATAAGACTGTTATGTTGCTATATAGAAAATATTAGGGATAAGTCTCTCCTGTTAATAGATACTCTTGTCCTTTACAGTGTAATTGGGTACTAATGATAGCTCTTGGAATCTGGTTAAGATCAGTAACGTCTTTCACCTTTAAACACAGAATCAGAGTTGATCACTAACTACTCTGACTCAGTTTCAGGTTCGGGCACAAAACTGAAATTGAGACTCATTTCAGGTTTTGCGCAGTTATACA